TGGCGGAGCTTCTGCAGCAAGAGTGCGCGCGTTCAACAGTTGATTGTGTGATGAATGGGAACCAATACCCGTCTTTATTTGTACGTTTTTGTGTTTAAAGGCAAAATGGCATGGAATGACTTTGAGACCCTTTTTATCCTAATTTGTTGTAATTGTGATATATTCAGTTATGTGGTGTTTGAGTTTCCTAAAGCAGCCTTCTGTTGTAAATGGAAATAGACAGTGTGCATGTCCTGCTTCTGTCATATAGCAACTATAAACTCAGGGCTTAGGGCCCGCTCACACATAGCATGGTCACCTGTACTGTATCGGATCAGCGCAGGCTACCATTACACGATTGTTTTCTTTGTGTCCCATTCACATCACAACGTGGGTGTGATGGGCGGTGCACTGCCATAAAATGCAGACATGCTTTTATCGCAGCACATTGCATGTCACTGCACCGCGCTGCTGTGCAGGAACCTGAATGGAGTGTACACATTGTACACTTCACATAAAGTTTAGAAAAGAAAAATAAGAAACAGTGTTATTATATACGGCATTGTGTGATACAACGCATACTGCTTTTGGGAACGGGCTCTTAGAGGGATCCTTGGTTTGAATCCCAATCAGGACATTATCTGCATGGAGTTTTAATTTCCTCCCTGTGCTTGCTTGGGTTTCATCCTACACTCCAAAAAGACATGCTGGTAGGTTCATTGGCTCAACTGAGCACACCCAAGATGGCTGCCTCACCATCTAAGCGTTTTCAGTCCCTTGGGAGAATTCAAGTAGTGCATTATCTGCATTAAGGTGAAAAACACCCAGTATTTTTTATAAAACCCCAGTCCCGTCAACACCCCCCTTCTGATTACCTGTGGCTACTTGTATCCTCTGCCGTGACCAGGGAGATACTCAGCGTTCCCCGGGGAGGGTACTGAGGGCAGAGGAGCTATACAGCTCCTTCTGCTGTCAGTCAAACTGTGACTGCAAGAGTGGGGGTGTGGCTAACCGCACGCTGTGTGTGTCTATAGTACATGGGGGGCGCTAGCGGTTTGGACACCAGGAACGAGGAAATAAAATAAAGTGTTTTAAAGTAAGTCTGACCCCCAAAAACAGAAAAAGGAAACAACCCAGAAGGTTTAGGGGGTTATTCACAAAGCTGCCGAAGGCAGCCGAGTGAATAACCCAGCCGAAGTGAAGTGAGCCGAACGCTGTTCTACTATTAACTTCTGGCTTGTACAGCTGTACATCGGTTGCACTTCGGTCAGCCGAACATGCTCTGGATGTTCGACTGAGCCAAAGTGCAGAAGGACTTCGACTCAGCCAATCGATCATCTGGGTCGGCTGAGGCAAAGCTCCGGCAGCTCACTCGCTGCCGTTCGCCCCTATTCTCATAGGGGCTGAATGGCAGTGATTGAATAGCCGAATGCCGCCGGCTATTCTGCTTGGTACCTCTGTAAATAAATAGTAAAATTTAAAAATAAAGATTTTTTTTTTTAAAAGAAAGAAAAAAAAAATGTATAAAAAAAAAAATTGGGCGGAGCTAGCAGTGACAGCTA